GGGGTCATTTTCTCTGCTATTGGTGGACCAGTCAGACAGGAGCGCTCTAGGCCTACTCTGCCTGCAGACATCAACGATCTTGCCCCTCACACAGTCAGATGGCTTCCTTCAGTGCACTGAGGTGTTTAACAACTCTGAAGACACTACCAGCCATGTCTTCCTTCTCTTTTCACGTAGACGCTCCGACAGACAGTGCTTTCAGTTTGCTGCATGCATGGACACAGAACTGCGGTACAGCACACAGTAACGATGAAATGTGTGCTGTTCTCACATTCTTCCTCTGTATGTACACATAAACAACAAGGCAGGGAAATATAAAAGGAATTTATTTTATTGTTTGGGTACATTATTGTTCAGTGTACATGCTCACATCTGAACCAAACTTTACGTGCTTGATAACTCTCTGACCCCCAGACATCTACACGTCAATACCGATTTATATTCATAGCGGCAAGTGCTATGTAGCTCCACATAGGGGACACAGGAAGTGACATATAGCACCTTCATGCGGCGACATAACCGCGTAGCAAATTCACAGCCGCACCGGCAGAGCTCCAGAATATGCAACTCGGCCAGCTCACACGCGGACGCGCTTACAAGTGTGAGGGCCCGCCCAACGCTGCTTGCAGCTTTAATATTCTGATTTGAGTTGTGGACAACTATGACCACATGACCGCACTGAGTAGGCTGGGTGACCATCAATCATTCGAGGAGCAGGGGGCGCCGCCGCTGGTATGGAGAGGGAGCTGGTAGAAACGGGCTTGATTCAGCAGACATGGAAGACGGGGTGGACCTTAAGGTGAGGAGGGAGGGTTAGACGGACAGCGGAGGGGTTGATGATGGCCTCGATGGGGTAAGGACCGATGAACCGGGGGGTGAGTTTTTTCGAGGAGGTCTGTAGGGGGAGATCCTTGGAGGAGAGCCAGACCTGCTGCCCGGGCCGGTAGGCAGGCACAGGGGTACGGTGGCGGTCTGCCAACTGGCGGTTGCGGGCTGCGGTGCGCTGCAGAGCCACCCTGGCCTCCCTCTAGATTCTGCGGCAGCGTCGAAGATGGGCTTTTACCAAAGGGACCGCGACCTCTTCTTCCAGTGATGGGAACAAGGGGGATTGATAACCCAGGGAACACATGAACGGAGACATACCAGTGGCGGCGCAGATTTGGGAGTTGTGGGCATACTCTATCCAGGGGACGTGGGAACTCCAGGAGGTGGGGCTGCGGTATGCTACACACCTGAGCGCTGCTCCCAGGTCCTGGTTGGCCCGCTTGGTCTGCCCGTTGGTCTGGGGATGATAACCGGACGAGAGGCTAGCGGTGGCGCTGAACGCGCGGCAGAAGGCCTTCCAGACTTGCGAGGTGAATTGGGGGCCCCGGTCAGAAACTATGTCCAGGGGGATGCCGTGGAGGCGGAAAACATGGTCTATGAGGAGTCGAGCAGTTTCCAGAGAGGTGGGGAGTTTGGGTAAGGGAACAAAGTGGGCGGACTTGGAGAAGCGGTCGACCACTGTCAGGATGACTGTGTTTCCATAAGAACTGGGGAGGGCGGTGACGAAATCCAGGACGATATGGGACCAGGGGCGACCGGGGACCGGAAGGGGGCGGAGCAGACTGGTGGGTGGTTGGTGGGACGGTTTGGCGCGGGCGCACACCTCGCAGGCTGCCACAAAGGCCCGACAGTCCTTGTCCATCGCGGGCCACCAGAATCGCTGGCAAGAAGAGGGTGCGAGCCATCCCTGGGTGGCAGCTGAACTTGGAGGTGTGCGCCCATTGGAGGACCCGGGAGCGGACACTCGAGGGGACGTAGATGCGGTTAGGGGGGCCGGTACCAGGATCTGGGTCGGTGGACTGGGCGCGGCGAACGGCTGATTCCACCTCCCAGACTACAGAGGCAACGAGGCAGGCACGAGGCAGGATGGTGTCGGGGTGGTCTGGGGAGTGAAGGCGGGAGAGAGCGTCTGGTTTGGTGTTGCGGGACCCGGGGCGGTAGGAGAGGGTGAAGTTAAACCGGTTGAAAAACAGGGCCCACCGGGCTTGACGGGAGTTCAGTCTTTTGGCTTGAGGACTAGGAAGGGCTGCTCTGCCCCCTCAAGCCAGTGCCTCCATTCCTCCAGAGCCAGTTTGATAGCGAGTAACTCTCGGTCCCCCATGGAGTAATTCTGCTCCGTGGGGGAAAGCCGGCGTGAAAAGAACACAGCAAAAACTGGAGTGTTGAATTAACTCCCACAGAGTTGATTTCAACACTTTTTTAGGGTTTATATAGCTCCACACTCTCCAGAGTTAAATTAACACTTTCAAAATAGTTAAAACATTTAACACTATGCCAGAGTTCCTTTTTAAACTCACAACACAGAGTTAAAGTAACACTTAGAGATTAGACAAATAACACTGCTCTTAGTTAAAGTTTTTACTACTTGTGTAGTGTTAGTTTGCCTTCCTGAAGTGTTAAATCTACACTTAAATGTGTTAAAATTAAATTATAAGAATGAATTACAATAAACAAATAATGTTTAATAACATTTATTTTTGCCTTTTCATTTGCAATGACAGTTTATTCAAAACATTACAAATGAAGGTATAATGTACAGATTTTCATCTGAATGACTGTATGAGCTTTGAATGTCAAACGGTTTGTAAAATTTAAGCTCAGACATTTTCATTATAAACCTTTCCTCACTTTTAAATACTCTGAAAGCATGATGGTGTTCATGAAAAACTTCTGTGAGTAGTCTGTTAGTCAAAAAATAAATGTGATTTTCAACCAAAAGTATGTTACTTATTTGATAAAAGACAGGCATGTCTTCTTCCACTGCACTGCAAACAACAAGTCCAGCTTTATACTCTACACCGTCAACTTTAACCCAACTAGTTGAGAAAACATCTTTTGCCAACATAATTTCAAGCATTTCATTGTTGACCACATTCTCATCCTTAAGGGAAAACGATTTAATTGGCCCATACTCATTTTGTTTGAGAGTAAAGGTTTCCCAGTGATAAGCAATGGCCATCTGATGCTTTTTAGCAAGGGATTTGGTTATGTTTTTGAAATTTTTAAAGGAGTCTTTAAACAGTTTGTGTTTAGCTTCAAACCTCATACTCCACATATGTAATAAAGGGCCAATTTTCCTTATAGAAGATGGGTAATGGATCATAAAATGATGCTTAGGTATCAAGTTCCTATGTGGATACAAGTGCTTAAATAGTTTGTGGTGGTCAACAATCAAATGCTTTAAATATATTGTCATACCTTGTGTGAGAGATGGTGATAAAACTATGTTCATTATTTGAAGTAACAATAACAACAAATTCCAGTTTTTGTTTCCTTCAGGAATAATGTCACCAAACAACAGTGGGATGTTTTTAACAAGACACAATGTCTGAATAGAATTCAAACCAATGCCATTACCAGCACTCTCCAAAATAATCTTTGTGGGACGGTTTTTTCGTTCTAAAAATCCATAATCAAGACTATAAATCCTGGAAAGCAAGTCCTGTTCTGTCATAAAGTGTTCTGTGAGATATCCAAAAAGCAATTTGATCTCATACTGAGCCACACCCTCAAGAAGATCATGCATTATATCAAATGAATAGTTATTACATACATGGAAATACTTTAATGAATTAAGTGTAGAATTTTTTTTCAAACCATAGAATGACTTAAATTGTGGGTTTTCCTGGAGAGTTTGGCAATGCATCTCAAACATCTCTTTTCCGCGAAGGATCACCTTAGGATCATCCTCACTGTATACTGTTTGACAATCATTCTTCTCAATCAAACAAAGGCGACAGAAATGACGACTACTAAATGACTCATTAAAACCAAGAATTGTGTGCATCCCTAGATTATCTCCTGTGATCTGTGAGATTGTACCATATACCTGCTCATCAGAAAATGGAAGACTTATTCCTTGGCTCTCCAGTTTTTTCACATCATTTAACAATGGTTCCAGTATTACATCAAAACCATACTTATGCAGATCTTGTGTATGAAAAAGTGCTACCAAATGAATGTTCATCAGAACTGAATTAAATTTGGGGGGTAAGTTTCTTACAATAAAATAAAGACAGCCAATTTTGTGAATTCCACGTTTGGAGCCAAGGGGATTGGCTGTTTCAAACTCATCATAATATATTTGAATTTTCTTTTTGCTGCAAACAAAGGATGTGTTTTAAAATAACTGCCATCAAAAAAGTCACTGTAAATGTCTGGCTCTGTTCTACAATCTTTCTTCAGGAGAACACAAATGTCTGGATTTCTGCACATAAACTTCAGTGTTTCAAAAATCGGCACATAAATAAAAGTATCCTTCACAGGTACTTGATCATAAGAACCGGATTTCTGATTTCGTCTGTTGTCATATCTCACACCTAGTGTTATTTCTGCTGGCTCGACAACTCCCCATTTTAGATTGAAGTATTTGTTTCTTTTCCATTCTGTATTCAGATTTGTGAACGGGTTTTCAAAATGTTCAAAAGCTTCATTAATAACAGGTATGTTTGGGTCAGTAACAGGTAAAGCAGAAATAGCAGTGTGCTGTGCTTGTGAGCGGATCTCACTTGTTAGTTCCTCCAAATCTCCTACAATTGAGGATACCAAACTGTTGGAAATCCCACTCCCCTGTAATTTGGCCACAATAGATGCACACATTTCTTTGGTTGGATCTTTAAGTCCAGAATAATTTCTCTGAGAAGAAACACTGGAAGAGCTACATTGATTTGGGGGACTAAACTGGTCTTCCAAAGCATGTGCCTGAGATGAAGTTGCAACTGGCTCACAAGAGGAACACGCAGCAGTTGAAGTTTGAGCAATTTGCTGAACATTGCTATGAACACTATTGAGGTGTTTCCGAAAACCTGCATATGTTAGGAACTGATGCCTACAGCCGTGCTGAGCACAAAACAATTTGAACTTTGGTCCAGGATAGTAACCATGTTGAACTCTTAAATGTGAAATCAACTGCTGACTGCTGGGATATAGTTTCTGACACATGAAACAGGTCAGCATTGTTTTAGCCTTTTACTCACAGAATGTGAGCGGTACGGGCTGGTTAAGCAGTCGGGCTCTCAAGTCTCGAACTCTGGGTGACTCCTTCATTTTTCCCACATCAATGTTGTATACTGTTGTCTGCAGAAATGTGTAGAAGTTCACCAGTGCTCCATCATAAGACAAGTTAAACACAAAATGCACTTTAAAAAGTTCATCAAATGCCCCAAGGGAACGGTTTGCCTGGCATGGGATGAGATGCTTATCCATGGCGATATAGAAGCTGTCAATCTTGTTCTTCTGACGACCAACGGCAAGGAGGTATGGCTGCCGACCCTGCTGGTTGCGGAGATGCTCCTCCAAACTGCAGCATGACTAGGGATAAGATAAGGAAGCTGAACATTAGACTCAAGAATAATGTGCAACCACAACAAAGACATTATATATATTGATTAATATTATTACAGAAGTGATTATTAGTGTGGAAGGCAGTGTGGAGGCTTCTTTACATAGACTCATGCTAAGGTAACAAAATCAGATTTTTTAGCAGATTATACACTAATAAAATCAGTTATTCACATCATATTTCTTTCTGCACATAAGATCCTTCTAAATGTACACACAAGACCTTTAAGACTTAATTTCTAATCCATACACTTTAACAATCTAATTTTACGTGCCCAAGAAAGTTTTTATTTAACCTTTGTTTTAACAGGATCGTCCCATTTAGAAACAAGAGTTTACAAGAGTCCTGGAAAATGACATGACAGATTAATATTGTTACCGTAATAATATAATTACCTTGTGAAAGACAACAAGTCTCTCAACTGCATCACATGCACTAATTTTTGGCGACTTTGGTCCTCCAGGTGGTGGTGGAAGGAGATGTATCAGCAACAACAGGGAGGCCATTTCTTGGTCATAGGCTGAGGACAAAGAGGCACAAGACTGAACAGAGAATTACAGAATAAATAAATGAAATTTAAGAAAAAGTCAACACTTTTATATATTCCTAAGAAAAACAAATCCAACTCACTTGTTTCTTCATCACTTCCTGAGGAACTTTCCGCCGATTGTATCAAGCGACGCAACTCCGGAGTTGAAGTGAGCTGTTTAGCTTCTTGTATGATATTTGGCTTGAAGAACACATCCCATTTCTGAAGCAGCCTGGAGGATGTCTCGTCACCAAATAGGAGAGTGAAGTCTTGTTCCACCTTTAAGAACAACATTATTAAACTACTACTAAATATTTTCCAATTTCAAGCCATCTAAACATTTATTTTCAAACTTACCAATCCTTTTGTATCCAGGAATCTTGGGAATGTTGAGAGGATATCATCACTCCTGCCTGGATCATTAACAAGCTTCTGCCGGTGCTGAAAGGTCTCTCTCATCTTCTGGAGAATCTGGAAATTGTCTGCAGTATGGTTGAGCAAGGATATGGCCTCTTGGCAGGCATCCCCATCGAGCTGCCTTTCGACATTAACTGTCCTTTGGAAATTTTGACCTCCTGGAAAAACGGCAACAGAACTGCTTGGTCATAGTACAGATCCTCGACGAATCCTCCTTTGGACTGTTTTCAGACGCCAAGAAATGTATCCTGTGCTGCTGGCAGCATCATAGAAGTGTTCCTGTAAGGGAAAAAAAACAATTGTTGTATACTCAACTCATGAGAAAATACAGAGAATTCAATGTAATGGACACAGATTCATGTCACAATATGCAAATATGGTGTGACTATTACATAGCCTTTCTTGGCATATGGATCCTTGAGGGAAGGGAACAGCATCACTATCCCGAGAGCATACTCTTCTCTGATTGCTTTAGTGGGGAGGTGCCTGAGAGGGGATATTAAATTAGTAATCTAAATTTATGCAATGGTCATGTAGTTATTTGACACAAAAGAATTTGAAACATACATACCCATGCTTATCAACCATGTGACCCACGAGTATGTTGACCATTTGTCTTCTTGTGGCATCAGTGAGGGTTTTTGTAGTTTGGTACTCTTGTAGTACTGCTTCACCACCGGACTTGCTTCGTAGCACAGTTTCAATCAACTAATAAAAAACAAAACCATGAGAATGCCAAACATGGTGATAAACAGCTTTTTTAGAGCCTCAGATGAATGTCAGATGTTAAAGAGTCATGTGAATAAAGTTTTTTTAACCTGTTTGGCAGACTCTGCATCACATGTATCATCAAGTCTTTGTTTCTTGCCAGGGACCTCATCTATGATTATAGTTGATGAGCTGGAGCTTGAGTCAGATGTCTCAGAAGAAGACGACGACAAGGACCAATCAGAAAATTCTAAAGGAATAAAAAATATGTTAAATTAAAATGTTTGTCGTATGTAGAGTACTTGATTATAACTTCTCTGTAACTCACCGTCATTTGAGAAAACTGTCAGCACCACATTTCCTTGTCCAACGAGGTCGCTGAATATTTCTCCATCAACTTCTGTACCAGTGGCATCTTTGTATGTAACTTCTGCATCAGGTGGTAGGCAAAATCTTTCGATGACTGTAAAGGAGAGTAAGATAAAAATGAATGTGCTTTCCCCCTGACAAAACCCGTTCCCTATTAAGTCCAAATTTTAAAGTTAATGATTTTTTCCCCATGTTTATTGACTGATGGTGGATATTTAACTAAAAATGTTGAGCAAGCGACTCCATTTTAGTGTCTGCCAAAAACATGAAAAGAAATCTATAACCAATGAACAGGCAGAATGAGTTTTAAAAAAGTAAAGTAAAAGAAAACCTTTTTCGTGGAACTGAAGAAAGTCAAACCGTCCATCAACCTCGTCCAACTTCACATACTTCTGCTGTTGTTTGTACTTCACCTGGACTAGCATTTTTCCTGAGCAATGCAATAACGTTTGACGAAGTAATATTTAAAGTAGGAACAGTAGAAGTCCAGATCACACACACAGACTAGAAAGAGCGCAGATACATTCTTTTTTTTATCTTCTGATCTGCAGGTCACTGTTTGTGCGCGCTTGTTGTGTGTGTGTGTGTATTTGCGCGCGCGAGAGAGTGTGGGCGCCGACAGCAGGCCGACACAGAGTGGGCAGAGGCTGCAGCCTGATAACGTTAACACTACGGTATTTTGCCCCGTGCCTGTAAAAAGCGCGTTTCAGTGCCCATCCCTAAGTAACACATGAAAATACCATTTAACCGTCAGCACTAGTCAACAACATAAATTGTTGTTTTTCATGACTTTGAGCCGTTAATTGTTGTTAATTCGCTGATAAAGCGGGAGAAGGTTTTAGTACTTAACAGTTAACGTTAGCTAGCTAACGTTACTTACTAGCTAACGTTAGCTAGCTGTTTGGGCGTGCTAATTAACGTCACCTGGACAATTTTACTGTTCCGTCTTGGCAACAAACAACGTTTTATAAAGCATATATTGTCTGTAGATGTCACAGTTCACAACATCAATTTACAATTGTTGTAGTTAGTCTGATTTAATTGGACTTACCTTGAAGAGCTTCGTGAAGGAGGAAAATGTGCTGTTTCTAACCGAAAAAGTGATATATGTATCTCCTTCGTCTTCATTGGCGGTTTAAATCTTGAAATGCGTGGCTTTCGTGGGCGGAGCTTAATTACATCTCTGCAGAGTTGGGCTAACACCAGGGAGGGTTGGCTAACACTGAGGAAATCAACACTGTAAAAGAACCCCAATATTAACAATATTAAAATGTTTAACCCTGAAATTTTAACACTCCAGTTTTTGCTGTGAAGGCGCAGGGGTGGAGTTTGGTGTCAATAGGAGAGCGCTGGGAAAGACAAGCGCCTACGCCCACGTCTGAGGCGTCCACCTCAACCACGAACTGAAGGGAGGGGTCGGGGTTGGTGAGGACAGGGGCTGAGGTGAACAGGGTCTTGAGGCGGGAGAAGGCTGCAGCGGCCTCTGGAGACCAGATGAAAGGGACCGAGGAGGAGGGGAGGCGGGTGAGGGGGGCGGCGACGGTGCTGAAGTTGCGGATGAATCGACGGTAGAAGTTTGCGAAGCCGAGAAAGCGCTGTACCTGTTTAACGGAGGTGGGGGTTGGCCAATCTGCAACCGCCTGAATCTTAGACGGGTCGGCACAGAGGCGCCCCCCCTCGATTATGAAACCAAGGAACTGGACAGTGGGGGTGTGGAGGCGAGGAGACACGGGGGAGAAAACAGAAATGCGAGACGAAGTAAAAAAAGAAAAAAGAGCACAGGGCACTCACCGTCAGCCGGGCTGTCACCGCAACACTATCAAATCAAGCTAGTTCTCTATGTCTTCTGTCTTCCTGTTTCATGACCGCCATCTCAACATGGATGATTTTCAAGGGATAGCTGTGTCTCCAGGGGTGGACTGGTAATCCGCCATACCGGGCAAATGCCCGGTGGGCCGACGCACCTTTGGGGCCGGTGTCACATAAATTATTATTTATTTAACTGTTTAAAAAAATGGGCCAACGACCCGCCCATAGAGCTACAGCACATTGGGTAACTTTCTATACTCACACTGTGGCCCAGTCACATCTGTGACTGGCCCCCACTCCCTCCTCCTGTGGCCTCTTTTTCTTGCGTTGCGGGTAAAAAAAAATAGTCTTCAGACGGAGGCAGCCAAATGCGCAAAAATAACCAATATGTCTGCTACTGGGGCTGCAGTAGTTTTAACATCAGCTGGATTACCCGATGTATTGCAGGCACAGACACCTGAAGGAGTAAAGGAGAGCCGTGGCTACTGCCAGGCAGAAGAGGAGGCGTGAGACAGCTGAGGAGAGGGATGGGGCCGAGGGAGAGAGAGAGCAGGAGGAGTGGAGGTGACGCGGTAAGCATGGAGTAGCTCAACCTGTAGGGAGGGAGCAGGTAGGAGGGTCATAGGTGTCATTTACACTGGGGACGCTGGGGACATGTCCCCACCACTTTTTGAAAGCATTTGTTAAAAATGTTTTTAAAAAAATTTGCACCAAGAACTGTTGCTATAAGGAAGGTTTATTTGCACAATAAGAAATCCTGCAATGCAATGTAAAAATAGAAGAAACATCTGTGTTGTCCAAAAAAAGTAACTTAAGCTAAAAATGGATCACTGATTACTGCAGTATATTCTATTATATTTTTATATTCTGAATTGTCATCAGCCACCTGAATTTTGTGTTTCCCTCCATATGAATAAAGACATTTCCACCATAAACTGGTGCAGAAAATGTCTCCAGAATGCAGGAAAATAAGTGTTTTTTGCTCAAAATCTTCTAGGGGAGAGACCCCCAGACCCCCTAATCCTATATTTCATCAAAAAATAATTTTCTAAATAGTTTTAATAACATACTCGCCTTGTTCTCATGACCCCAATCTTGTACAGTGTCACATCTCATGAGCTAAGTTTGATGATGTCTTCTGTCTTTCTTGTTTGTTCTGGGCTCTTGGCAAAGCAGCATCAAAAAAGAAAACACCACACACCAACAGAGAGCCACTTGGTGTGAATATAGGCTGTGGATACCGCTCAGAGGTGTGTCGCAGTCTGACGAGGGGCATCATTCTTTCTGACACCAAAACCAGTTTTCGCTTTTCAGAATGATGGTGGAGCGAGGAGGGTGGAGGGTGCCACAGAGAGAAAATACACCCTTAGCTGTGTGTGGATTGCAGGGCAGCTTTTATTAAGGGAGCAATATGCTCAGCAAGGCTTTGCCATCCATCACTAAGACCTAACCCCCCCCCCCCCCCCCCCACACACACACACACACACACACACACACACACACTGTGACTGGAGCACGGTGGACTTCAGTGTCTCTTTTCTCAGGTCTGAGCAACTGACTGGCAGACACCTGGAACCTCCTACACAAGCTGTTCTGTATCAGAACAGAATAACTGCAAGGCCACAATTATATGTTAATATAATAATGGAAATATTGTATCCTGTATACAGTACTAGAAAGTAATAGTAATAATTATTATGATTTTATTGCTGTGTAATTCTTTGTGCTGTTAATGCACTAAACCCACTGCACTATGGTTAGTGTATGATAATCACAGATATTCTTTGCATCTTTACTCCAGACATAAGGATGTCCTTACTGCCTTCTTTGATTCATGATTAGTTCTACACTGCATGCACAATTATTTGGCAAGTATTTCAGAATCAGAAGGAGCTTTATTGCCAAGCAGTGTTTTACACATACAAGGAATTTGCTTTGGTGATAAGGTGCAGATGATAAATAGATGTAGAAATATATAAATATGGAATAAACAAATGCAGGTTATATAAGAGTAGTAGAAGAATAGAGAAAAACAATCCAACTATTTGCAGAGAAAGAACAATGTGGCAGATGTTTACATGTGCATTACTCTGGTTTGTGTTGTGCAGACGTATTGCAACGGAAGAGGATGTTGTGTGCAAAAATATATAAATTGACAATCTAAAAAAATAAAAATAACAATTAAACAACAAAGATTAAGCCTGCCCTTGTCCCTGGCAGTGACAGCAGCGTACCAGATGGTGATGGAGGACATGAGGATTTACTCAATGATGGCAGTGTTGATGTGCATCATCATTGTCGTGCAGGCTGCGCTTCTTCAGCTGCCGCAGGAAGTACATCCTCTGCTGGGTCTTTTTGGTGAGGGAGGTGATGTTCAGCTCCCACTTGAGGTCCTGGGAGATGATGGTGCCCAGGAAGCGGAAGGAGTCCACAGTGGCAACTGGGGAGTCACACAGGATGAGGGGGGAAGGTGGGGCTGGGCTCTTCCTGAAGTCCACGACTATCTCCACTGTCTTCAGAGCGTTGAGCTCCAGACTGTACTGGCTGGACCAGGTCACCAGATGGTTGTTCTCACTCCTGTAGGCGGACTCATCCCCACCAGAGATGAGCCCAATAAGGGTGGTGTAGTCCGCAAACTTCAGGAGTTTGACAGACTGGTGATTGGAGGTGCAGCTGTTGGTATACAGGGAGAAGAGCAGAGGAGAAAGAATGCAGCCCTGAGGTGAACAGGTGCTGATAGTCCTGGAGTCAGAGACATGTTTTCCCATCTTCACGTGCTGTTTCCTGTCTGTCAGGAAGTCTGTGATCCACCTGCAGGTGGAGTCAGGCACGTTCAGCTGGGAGAGCTTGTCCTGCAGCAAGGCCGGGATGATGGTATTGAAGGCAGAGCTAAAATCCACAAACAGGATCCTGGTGAAGGTTCCTGGGGAGTCCAGGTGCTGGAGGATGAAGTGAGGGGCCAAGTTAACTGCATCATCTACAGACCTGTTGGCTCTGTTGACAAACTGCAGAGGAGGGGGTTTGTGATGGATTTAAGGTGGGACAACACAAGATGCTCAAAAGACTTCATTACCACAGAGGTCAGGGCGACGGGTCTGTAGTCATTTAGTCGTGTGGTCCTTGTTTTTTTGGGGACAGGGATGACGGTGGAGGCTTTGAAGCAGGCTGGCACATGGCATGTCTCCAGTGAGATGTTAAAAATGTCTGTGAACACTGGAGACAGCTGATCAGCACAGTGCTTCAGGGTGGATGGGGAGACAGAGTCCGGCCCAGCTACTTTGTGCGGTTTCTGCCTCCTGAACAGTCTGTTGATGTCCCTCTCCAGGATGGTAATAGAGGGGGAGGAGGTGGAGGATGAGATGGTGGACTGTGGCCGATCAGTGGTGTATATGGGGATGGTGTCAGGCCTGTCCCATTGTCTTTCAAAGCGACAGTAAAACTGGTTCAACTCATTGGCAAGCCATGAGTTGTTCATGGAGTTGGGGGATATAGGTTTGTAGCTGGTGATCTGTCTGAAGCCTCTCCAGACAGAAGCAGAGTCATTTCTTGAGAACTGGTGTTGTAGTCTCTCTGCCTACAGGAGTTTAGCATCTTGCACCACCTTGCTAAACCTGTACTTTGACTCCTTAAACCTGGC